TAGAGCGCTGGCTGTACTAAAGCCTGCCCCCTTACTGCGTGGGTTCGAATCCCACCGAGGCGCCGAGTTTTTCCCAGTTGGGTCAATATGAATATGGATTATCTCAAACAGCATCAAAATCTACAGGCAGGCTTATGCGCTGCGCTCTGAAAGTCAGATAATATGGCAATCTATTGATAGTCCATACCTTAAGGCACATTTTGCGGTTTAAAACTTTGTACTTCTTGGGCGTACGGACTGACCGGTCCGGTATTCTTGTATAAATAAAACTACTGCAAGATGCTAACACCCCCCAAAAGGCCTGAAGAAACTTTAGAGGCGTAGGGTCGACAGTGCAGTTTCCCAGATCAAAACTCCGGGAGAGAGAATTAGTAGGACAGTCTTTACCGCGGCAGCGAGCAGAGCAGAGGCGCGGAGACCGCCGGTAGCAAGAGCCTGACCACGTCGAGTGCGCGAGCCCCGTGCGTGGGCCCGAGCCATGTCCAGCCGCGGACAATTAATGGAGAAAAATATCGATCGGCGTCGCAGCGTTGCCGAGCCTGAAGGTTGAGTCACACGCAGCGCAAGCATTTGACTGGCGTGGGGGCTTCGACCGCCCTTGCCACGCCGGCTAGGCTGCCACAACACTTACTAGGAGGAGGCTTGTATACAAGTTCGACAAACCGTTTTACCATATGGGCATATACATCACCAGGGGCGCATAGTCTGTGGAGAATTTAGAAGGGGCGTGTCGGATTGGTAGGTGGATCAGGGGACTAGGCTTAGAGAGGGCCGAACCACAAGCAGCTTCAATGCATCATTTAACCGGGTGCTATGAAACACAATGTAGACCCGGCAGCTTAGTGATCGCTGATCAAGAATTGTAAATATGGATAAAACATTTGAAGCAATGATTAACTTGGAGTGCAGTCCAGAGACAGATCATTCTTGGCGACATTCAGACGTTAAGTTGACCATCTTTACTGGCACCTGAGTAGATTGCACTCATAATGATGATTATACGTGTCGAGTCTATTTTTTTCACAAAATTTCAGCTCTCGTATAAATTAGACATTTTATTGAAAGAATGCATATATGTTTCTGAGGAAAGTACGTCCTCTTCAAATTTGAAAGGGGAACGAAGGGATCATGCGGGTTTTTAAACCTGAAAATTTTTACAGACGCTAAAAGATTATTTGTGTCGACTAGAATGGGCGGAAGCCTCTTGACAAAATAGGACTTTCGGGATTTATGGAATGGCTGACCCACTACCGTACGACCTAGGCTATTTCCAATCTTAGTCGATCAAGTCTGATTCTAGGAGTCAAGTGACAGGGCGTCGCGGTTAACAAGAATTCCGACTTCGAGCGCTGGGCCTTTCCCTTGGGGTGTTGCAATATGATCAGAGGATAATGGCAAGTAAGCCAAAAATGGCCACTCCCAGCTACTCCTCCTGAACATTGATCGCAATCCGAGTGTTCGCAGGCGCATTCAACCCAGGTTCCAAGGCAGAATGAAACGCGCTGCATGCTGTTCTGAAATCAGAGTAGGCCTGTCCTGCATGGACGGAAATCCGGGGATCTAGGGGCGTGCTGGTAGTGCTCACGTGCGCGTCTAAGTTCTGCTTGTTGGTACAGTTTTCATTCTAACGAAGGAGTCTTAACTAACTTACCAATGCAATACAATAAGAAGTTCACTAATGATTACGGTGGCAGTACTCCTAAGCTCGCCAAATGTACACTATGCAGGTGGGTTCAGGCAACAGTATGACAGGGCGGTTGTGTTGGTATGTTCTGATCCCGAATGCTGTTGGCAGGCAAGATCAAACCGCTTAACTCTTGCCGCTGTTCCTATTGTTCGCCGGCGTCTTTCGCGGATCGTAACCACTAAAGGACCTTGGGAACAACAGTCTCAATTGTTGAACAAATGCTTGAATTACAAAAGGCCCTCGTCTATATGTGCCTTCGACTCTGTCTTATCCGAGTTTGTAATGTTTGCATCTGTCGGAAGGATATCGCCTATATCGGTCCTCGTTATTTGCTGCTGCGGTAGCAACAGCCGAACATGACAGTTCGACCATCGATATCGATGACGTCCATCGTGTGCCCCACAGTTGCAGCAGCAATTGGAGCAGGGACGGTGACTTACGTAGGGGTTTATAGTGCCGGTTAGTGCGCCGGTTAGTGCGCCCAGTTAGCAACGCTGTCGCACAACTGCTTCCAACGTGTCCTCGATGTAAGCGGACATTCCGGGCTCGAATCGGCCTTGTTGGACATCTTCGGATCAACTGTACCTCTCGAACTGCACCAAACTTCATCCCCCCGCCCGCGTCATCCT